GACAAGGATAAAGGTATTAGGGCAACTGCTAGTAGCAGGATGGCATTAAGGCTCACTTATCAAATACAGCAATACAACCAACATAAAACAAAAAACCCTTTAAGACTATTTATAAGTGTGCAAACAGGTATGTTAGTTATAGCTTGTGAAATAAATATTTCAATTTTCTCTACACTAAATGAATTGTGCGATACTATTATTTTTACCTGTGGGAAAATGTGTCTTTGCACAAATAAAGCAAAATATGCAAGGTTTTAACAGAGCAGTATAAAGCACTTCATAAAAGAGATTAAAGGACGAGTGGAAGACAGTTAGGTCTACCTTTATAAGCTTCTCTTGCCAAGCTGAAGGACAGAACTGAACTTGTTCAGCAAGTGATGACATATCAAACATCAATGATTACAGCATGTCAAAACCGCAATAATTCAGGTCTGCAATTTCATGATTCACCATGCTACCTAGCTGAAATTATTTGTCATGTGATACTTTTAAGGCTGTTCATGGACTTGCTAAGGTTTTATTTCGCTTTTCTCTTGTTATTCCAGTGAAAATACTATCATCCTTTGACGAATGCTTTCATTAACTCTTTGGAGATGACTATCAGAATAGAATGGAAAACACTGCTAGAATAGAATTAAGGATTGTTTCCTCAATAATTTTTATTGATCAAAGATGCAGCACTTCGCAGTAAAGGAAATCCAGATGTTAGACTCTTTCATATATTAAAAACAATATGTTAAAAAGATGCAAAACAATGTCTTATAGATGGTATTGTATCTCCTTCCACTTCACCAAGATAGCATCTTAATTTCATGTCAAGTTTTTTTTTGGGGGGGGGGGGGGGAAGGAAGGGGTGAAGTGGGAGAGAATAGAGACTCAAAAAAGAGGTCAACTACCACTGGAGGGCCTTTATTTGAATTCCAAATCCATCCCTCCCAAGTGCCCTTCGGGAACAATCATTCTATGGTTTTATTTTGACTATGATAAAAAAAAGTGTTTTTCAGAATGTGTTATTCTAGCATGTTCTAAGTAACACTTCTAAAAACCTCTAGTGAAGCTCAAGGCTTCAACTAGACCAGCTAGCATGTGCTAAAATACAACTTGCCTTGACACTACAATAGACTTTTAAAACATATTACCACATTCCCCCCCCCAAAAAAAAGACGAAAAAATCCACTCATATTTTAGCCTAGTCAAGGCAAACTCTATAAGTGGCCTTCAGCATCAAAACAGAATATTGTGATGTTAGGATTTGTGACAGGTAATTATGACAATTCAAAAGATTTTTTCAATTCTTAAAAAAAAAATGTACATTTTGGGTTCCCCCCCAAAATACTACATATTAGTTTCTGGGTTTACATTACAAGCAGTAGAAGATAAATTTTATATTCCTCTCTCTCTCTGCAGAAGTACAGCATCCAGAAAACATGCTAGGAGCCAGATATGATCCATTAAGTAAGCCCATTATCCAAGAAAGGTAGCAGCCTCCAAACCCTGTGATACATCATTTAATTCAAGAAATACCATTTAAAATTTTTACTATTTTGACTTGCTTAAGTACTCCTAGTTAATGGCTTTAATTCCAGCCCTGACAAGATTAGTATCATTAAAAGAACATGAATAGGTTAATATTCTCTCTAAGAATCTCACATTTTATTTATCAGAATGCAACCAACAAAAAAGTTAAAGCTATTACATTCACATTTTATTTAAAATGCTAATATCACACTAGTTACAAAAATAATGCACACATTAATAAAAGATGAAATCTGGGTAAGGTGTAATTACACAGAGCCACATAGGTGGTGTATTGTTTGTATCAGATGCAAGCATACTGTGGGTGTCTGAGACTCACCAGGATGCAAGCTTAGTGACTTCAACCATCCTGTAACTGCAAATACATAGAAATAAGGTTAAGTGTATAACTGACTATGCTATCAAGTAGTTTCATGCAGTTAGACACATCAAATTCTCCTGATAAATACCTAGTATGGAAGTTCTGAGAAGAGACAGTTTAGCAATTTTGACATTGGGGATAGTGTATTAAACAAAGTAATGTATAAAAAATACCTAATATCTAAACACCGCCATTAATTCAGAAAGAATGCATGAGTCTTGACATGACTAACACTTGCTGAACCCTGTACAACTGCTCAGTACTAGCACACTCAGAAACAGATTATGAATATTCTAGCAAGGGAAAGTCCTCCCTCCTCTTCTTTGCCAGAGATAACAATGAAAGTCAGCAAGCCTGACACACAGATATCTTGTTGACAGAGCAGTTACCAGATAGCAAGTGAATGATTTACTCTGAGATCAGATTAGATAGTTTACTAGTCTCCACAGCACAAGACAGCACCGGCCAAGTTTATTTTGTTATTAGCTGTGTTTATTTTGTGTGTGCTACCCAACATAATCTTACTCAATAATCAAGCATACCATCCAAAACCCATAAATAGATCTAGGATACTTTCAAGGCACAACCTCTCCCTTCACAATAAAGGAAAAGAGGTGGTCGTCAACGATATTTACCTCCGTTGATAGGCACTGGTGCCAGCAGCAGGCCTTTGACCTCCACTTTGGGGGAATCCTGCCCGTAGCGTCCACGATCGATCCTTAGTAACGTGGGGCTGACTCGGTCGGGGTTCAATACAGTCACATTGATGAGGGCTGTGTAATATGCCTGACTGGCATTATCCGCGCTAGCCAGCAAGACACAACAGTTAACCAGGACCAAGACTGGCAAGGAAGAGAGACGGTTCCAATACTGGGAAGTCCACTTCGCGAGCATCATCTTCATCCGAAGTGGCACGAGCACAGAGGGAGCTGTAAAGTGTCTTCACAGGCCCAGGCGCCTCCGACAGCACAGCGCGGGGGTCGATTCCCCCGCACGCAGCAAGGGGCCGCGGACTCGCAGCAAGGCAGCCCCCCGACAGTCCATCCACCGGCCAGCGGCACTGCAGGTGGCCCCAAGGAGCTACCGATGAAGCCCCCCCGAACTTGGACTCACAGGCGCGGGCGGCTCCTGCGCATCCCGCCACAGCCCGGCCTCGGGGGTCAGCGCAGGGCTGGCGCGGCTCGAAGCAGCCCCCCGCCGGGGCGGAGAGTCCCGCTCTGTGCCCGCGCTGCTACGGAGAGCGTGCGGCAGCCAGAGCCCCCAGCCGCCTGCCGGGCCGGGGGGATGCGGCGGCGGCTCGCGGCCCCCCGCGGCGTGTCACCGGGCGGGGCGCGCAGCGGGCGCCGGCCAGCGCGAGGGGCCCCCGCCGGGGCTGCAGGTCGCCT